AAAACTTAAAAAAAAAATATATATAAAAAAAGAAAAGTCTTGCTTCTAAATCCACATTTTGGATCTATAAAGTGACTCTGGGGGTGAAGGGTCATCTATACCTCCCTTTTTAAGATATGCATCTTTAAATTTGGGGATTTTTTAAATACAGTTATACACTACTTTGTGTTTATCACAGACAATCCAAATGAAACAAATTAATTTTTATTCTCATGTGAGAAAATAAGAATAAAATATTTTCCAAGTTGCTCCATAACACCTGGATTAAACATGTTAAAAGCAGTGTGAGAGAATAAACCTCATTGAGACGCTACTGGAGCCTGCAGCAACAGTCATGTCTGCATCGTTTCCATAAACTGCTCACCGTCTGTTTGGAGGGACAGTGTGAGGGCTTTGTCCAAACCCTGGTGCTGCACGATGCATCTGACCGACCGCCCACTGGTTACCGCAGACTGGAAGAGCAGCGTGCTGGTCACTATGGTGGTGCCATCGCCCTGCTCATAAGAGGATATGATGGGTGGACCCAGAGTTCTGTTATCACTGCCGGCGTCCCACACTATGTTTGCTGGAGGCCTGGACTGGGCCGTGCAGTTAGCCTCTGTTATTCCTGAGGATGTGGTCACATGGGTCACCTCTGGTTTGGGTAAAACTGGGGATAAAGACCAGAGATCACATCAGCTAGTTGATAAACTTTATAGCTCCAGCATCCATCCCTGCAAACAGAGGAAGCTTGCGCTCCGACAAGCAACCCTGGAAACAAAACCCAGACAGAAAAGTTGGCAGAGCAGCTTTTAGTCCCTGTTTGTTCGTCTGGAGCAAAGCAGGACAACAAACACCAACACAGAAGCTTTTATGGCAAGGAAAACAGTGAGCCACTCATCCTCTGGGCTGGTTTCCAAATTAAATCACAACTTTCTCCCCTCTGTGACACATTCTACCCCCTCCTTCATTATCAGAGTAAAGAAAACAGAGGACAGTGAGGAGAAGTAGGCGGCGCTCAGCGGGAGGAAAGCGAACTCCATCTTTACAGCAGTTCAGAACAGTCGTTTAATGACCGACTACAGCAGCAGTTACCTCAGGCCTTCTGTTTTTGCTTAGAGCTTCCTTTTCCTGACTTTTTAACTCAGATTTCCTCAGAGCACTCTACTGTATGTGTTTGGAGAAAAAATCTCAGTAGTAAGAAAATGGGCCTCGATTTTATAGATTTAAACAATAGATAATAAACAGGACTGTAAAGGGAGGAGCTAAATAATTTTTAGCTGGATCCGAATTTCATATTTTATTAGGTTCTTTGTGTTTTTAAATCCTGCAGTTTCCTTGTAACTCTGCACCTGGATTTCACCCCATAGACCTTGGATCTATTCTACTCAATATGTTTAAATATAATAGGAAGCTGCTAAGTTTTAAGTTATTTAAAGAAAATAAGCATTTTAAATTTTTCCAGATCTATATTATTTTCTTAGTTGCAGAGGAGAAGAACTGGGTTTAAGTTTAGGGTCTAAGAAGGCAGTTTGGAAAACTCTGACCACAAATCCTTCCTTCTTCCAGACCACCTGGAGGTTCTGCTCTGATTGTGTTTAGAAGTTCTCATTTAGAAGATGCCAGCTCTGCAGATTACAGCAAAAACGCTGGAAGATTTATAGAGTTTTAACTCAACCTTAGAGAGAGCAACTGTTAAAACTGTTCAGACAGCTATAAGCAGCATTTTATAAACTAGATCCAAAGATGCATCATCAGAGAGAATATAATTGTGAGTGAAGCCAAAGTTACCAGATGGTTTCTAATGTTTTACAAAGAAAAATCTGAAAAGTGTGGCATGCAACATGAATTCATGCTTAACAGGGCAATTTTCCACTGGGTTTACAGCTAAGCTCAGTCAGACTAAAAAGGAACAGAGATTTAAAAGCAGATTGAGTCCAAATCACTCAGTTGTAGCTCAGACAGCTTTTCTGCTTTTAGCTCCACCCATCTTCCCATTAACCTCCCCACTAACTTCCTGTCATAGCTTAGGGACAACAGGATGGTGCTGGTTCAAAGTCTCTCTGTTGCCATAAAATAGCATTTGACATTCAAATCAACGTCCATCTGCCTCATGTTAGCAGGCGCCTGCTTTTTTAGGTTTGGGTTCTCCTTCATGGCTTATTTAGAGACTCCCTCCTTTTTGGTCTCCTCCAATTAAAGCTCTCCTGCTCAGATGATGGACCCAACAGATCTAAGAGATGTTTAAAGCTTTAATATTTTTTTAGAAGTCAATTATGATAAGACCTTTTGCTCAATAGGGATTTGTATCAACATCTAATTTAGAGGTACCAAAGTAAAAGGGGTTAATTACAAATATAAACTTTATTTTCCTTTTTTTCTCAATTAAAACCAATTATGACCTTAGATCTGCTGCAAAACAAAATTTTCTAATAATTCTCTATAGATTCTGAAGAATAACTTTCATTGCAACCAAAATGTCATAACTTTTAATCCAGCACATCTCCAGCATCCCTCTAAAGCAGGGGTCAGCAACCCACGGCTCCAGAGCCGCATGTGGCTCTTTGATGCCTCCCCTTTTACAAATTTTATGAAAATGGAAAAAGATGGATTTCTTTTTTTCTTTTTTTTTTTTTTTTTTTTTAATACGGTGTGCAGAAAGTCAAACAAAGGAAGATTTGCGTCGTAGCCTGCAACATTCGTTTCAGTGCGGTGCAAGGCAGGTGGCTCATGTAAACAAAGCTGTGGGTGTGTTTAGGGTCATGGATTCCAAAGAGGAAAACAAAGGAAGATAGTTGATGAGAACAGAGGATTCAAATTAAAATGAACAGAATCATTTGCCTTCATTAAATCAATCGGAAGCATTGCCTGCATATTTGCTTTGTAATGAGAAGTTGTCAAATAATAAAAATACGGTAGTAATTCCGAAATGCTTTTCTAGGGAAAGCATGCTTAATATGTGCGATTGCAGAATTTCTGGTTAAATTAGAGGAGCAAAGATAAATTTGTGGATTGCATCTCCAAACTCCACTACACAGGATCGAACAGGTAGCTTCTTATGCAGGTATGTGAACTTTCTCCATTTTTTCACCTAAATCGTCAAAATAAAAACACCAAAAAAATCTGATCTCTTTATTGTGTTTCCATAATTCCATCAATGCAACCAAACCAAATATATTAATATTGCAATGGAATTTAAACAAATATTGTAGAGCAGAGTAGTCACATGATGTGACATTTGCTCCAGGATAAACATTTAATCAGGAATGCTAATTGTATATTTAAGCCGACATAGTCCTTTTTTTTATTATAGTGGGCTAATATACTTGGAGCCTATTTTGCCACACAAGGCTTATATAAGACATATTTATTTTTTGGTCCAACATGGCTCTTTGAAAAGTTTGGGTTGCTGATCCCTGCTCTAAAGAGTTATTTGATCCAAAATCCATTATACACCCTAGATTTTAACTAGATGATACCCTTAGAAATGTGAACTTTTAGGCAACTTTCAGAAGAAAACCCTAAAAATCAAATGTTGAAGCTGGAAAAATTCTCACCGTAGACGGAGAGGCAGGTGGTGGCCTTCCTGGTGCCATCAGGGAAGGTGTGGAACTCACAGCTGTAGCACGCCTCATCTTCTGTTCGCACCTTTGCCAAGGTCAGTGTGCTTTCTCCCAGCGTGCGGGTCAGCCTGACCCGACCTTTGAACTCTTCCCGTATGCCTTGGTTGGCCTTGGTGTTCCAGGCCACCATGGTGGTGTCGCCCTGCTCGGGGGTCTTCTTCCACATCACCTGATGAACCCGGTCGCTGAGGCTGTAGGAGCAGGACAGGCTGACGGGCTTCCCACTGACGGCTGTCTTGTTCCCCTCCAGGTGGACTTTAGCTGATGTGGCAAAGAACAGAACTTATCTTACTGAGTTTTTATCTCATTTTCTTCACAGCAGCTTTAGGGGCAACATTAAGGAGCCTGGATGTGATTAAAAGCCTCCATGCTTAATAACAGGAAGTTTAGCTTGGCGGGTGGGCTCTGTCTTCTGCTGATTTGGGAGTTTAAACTTTATCCTCCAGCTCCCACAGCTCAGAAAAACAAACCCCGTGACTCTAATGGGGTAAAAAGCCGAGCGGCTTCAATGGATGAATAAAAAAAAAAAAAGGACAAAAGTTGAAATCTTGGGTTGAACTGCAATATTTTCTTCTGAAATAACAGTTAAAGAAGAGATAAGAAGCCATCTGTTCACTCACCAGTGATGTTGACACATGTGGAGCTTTCCTGCATCCCGGTGGGGAAGACGTCAAAGATGCAGCGGTAGCAGCCGCCGTCATCAGACCCCACCTTCTTGATGCTGATGCTGCTGGAGCCGTGGTCGGCCGCCGCCAGCTCCACGTTTGCTCCTCGGTGGCTGACGCGCAACGACGGAGACAGCGAGTACGCCAGGAGCAGAGCGGATTGATTGTTGAGCCAACGCACCTGGCGGACGCTTTCCCCCTGTAGTGTGGTGATGTTGCAGTAGAGGAGGACAGGACGTCCCGCCTCTGCAGTCAGGCTAGCCGGAGCTGCAACCTTAGCCGATACTGGACATAGAGAAAGGCGACTCGTCTGAAGAAATGTCTTGATATCAGCAAACCATAAGGATGTTTCTGATTTAACTGATGAAAAACTGATTTATTTCAGTAAATAGGTTAGTTAAA